AGTCAAATTGACGTATCTAAATTCTTTGACATCTAATCTTTGACAAGTAGTAAATAAAAGCAAAAATGCAAAAAAAATATATAATTAGTTAATTTAAGTGAATTTTATAAATGATCGGTTTACTACACGTATGTATATTATATTATAGTCACTTACTAGCGAAAAGTTGTTCCATTATTTCACACATTTTTGGCGAGATCTACCGCACGCTACACAACCAACTATTTTAGAGTCTTTTTCAATAAATCGCGATAGTGTCACTGTTAATTCAATTTCCATCTAGATTTACTACCTTTATACAACTATCCGTAGTAGAATAAATAATAAATAACATAAAATAAGCTCCGTAAAGACTGACAAATCCACAAAATTTCAAATCAAATTCAAATGTGTCAATTGAATCGTCAAACAGAACTGTCAAGGATCCCCACCCTAGAGTCCTTTTTTCCGCCCACCATGCATGAATACGTGGATAGCATTATGCTCCTTCCTTAGTCTTCGTCTTTGGTCTTCGTATTCAAAGCTTCAAAACAATTAAAACACATGTAGGTGGCGTCTCCTATAAACAGGAGTCATATTGACATCAAAATCAAATTTCTCATGTCGAAAAACTTCCAGACACCAATTTTCATCCAAATATTGACGTTACTTCATAAATTATTTGGAAAAAATCGAAATAAAAAGGAAACTTTTATACCCTGTATCTCCAAAACTAAGCATTTTAGGACATACATTAATTTTTTTTTACTTATTTTTATCATTACATATATATGAACCTTTTTACTTATTTTTATCTGCAGAATATGCTGCCGAAGTTTCCGGAATACAATTCGGACCACCCTGTATATCAAAGTTGTATTTTTTAAATGGAATACTCTGTATATTTTACGAGAATCAGATGCACAATTTAATTGTTATAATTATATGTATGCAATATTAATATTCTTATAAAAAATATATTAACTTAACAAAAATACTAATTTAAAAAATACCTAAATTGTTTCAACCCGTTATACAAAAATATTAAAACCAAAAAGTCTCTAATGTATATTTTCTATTTTCTTCTAGTCTATAAATTTGAAGCGTCTGCCTTAACGGACCTTGATGGAAATTGAAACAAAGAGGTTTTCTACAACCGAAGGATAAAATAACAAAGAGTTACTTTCGTTTACCTACTCGGTTTCAGTGGCCTGTCGCACAGCACAGCTGTTGACAGAATAAATATAACAGTATCTTGCTTATTTTCACTTCAAATAAAAAAGCGCCGAAAATTTTAAAAGGCTAGACGACTGATCACTTTCTTTAATGAGTAAATCGATAAGATAAACTAAAATGATAATTGGCTATTAATCTCTAAAGCTAGAACTCCGAACTTGATGGTTGATATACACACACCGGAAAAGTCTAGGGATATTACAGTTTTATCCAGCCATCGTCAGTAATTTTATTATTTGCATTTCTGATATAATAAAATTAAAATAAACAAGTAGTTTACAGGACGTATTGGAAATAAAAATGCGAAATTTACCGAATTTTTCAAATTTACCTTGATTTTTATTGAACTCGAAAAAAAACACACATTTTTTTTATTCTAAACTGTGAATTAAAAAAAAAGATAAAACCATTTTTACTTAATAAAGGGTATGGCCTCCTCTACTGTTCATTACAGCCCTACATCGTCTCTCCATGCTCCTGATCAGGTTGTCGATCTCTTCTTGAGGTACAGCCTGCCACGCTGCATTCACGGCCCGAACCAGATCCCTACGAGTTTCACGAGGCATACCCATTCTCAAAATTCTTCTTTGGACGCGTCCCATACGTGCTCGATGGGGTTGAGGTCAGGAGATTGTGCCGGCCAGAGTAAGATGTTAAATTGATGAGCATTGAAAACTCACTTACCACTCTGGCTGTATGAGGCCGTGCATTGTCATGCATGAGAATGAAGTTTCCCCCAAAATCATTGGCATATGGTAACACGACAGGCTCAAGAATTAAATCACGATATGTGATTCCTGTTAGAAACCCTTCAAGTAAAACGAGATCGGTTTTTCGGCCTAACTGACTCCTCCCCAGACCATAACTGTTCCACCTTGATAAGGGTGCACTTCCTGAACATGATCCAACCGAATAAGATTTCCCGGTTTTCTCCATACCCTAAGTCTTCTCGAATCCGGATGAATTCCAAAGCGTGACTCATCCGTGAAGAGAACATTGGCCCATTGTTCATTCGACCACTTAACATGATCTTGAGCCCACAAATATTGTACCTCTCGATTTCCTCTCGTTAAGGGTTGAGCTCTCCAGGGGCGTCTGCTTCTTAAGTTGACCTCTCTTAATCTATTGCGAACAGTGTCAGGACTAACGGTTACATTATGTGTTTCCTGGAAAATTAAACTAAGCTCTGGTGCTGTAAGAGTCGGTCGGCGTCGAGCATTTAATTTTAAAAAATGATCTTGCTGAGGGGTAGTAATGCGATGTCGCCCTGTGTGCCTTTCAGCAACATCACCACTTTCACGGTAGCGTGCATTTAATCGCGATATTACACTTTGCGTTGTATTTAATGCTCTAGCTACGTATATTTGGCGCATTCCAGCTTCGAGCGTACCCATGGCCCTTAGCATTTCGTCTCTGTTAAGATGTCTACACCCCATATGTCGTTTAATACTAAACAGAGTTATTTGAATGAAATCATAAAAACATAGCCAGTACAGGTTAAATTCGAACAATTGATGCTAGGTGCTTTTTATACATTTGACAAAAAATGCACAAACACTTCTGCAAATATCCCAAATTTAGAAATAACTAGTGTGACTACTTCGTTTCAATCGAAGTAGAAAGAATCGGCCTACAAATATGTGGTTGTTTATTTGTACGTGTTTTCAGACTTCAAAAGAGAGCAGTTCGATATTTATTGGGACTGAACAGTAGAACTCACTGCCAGAATTTCTTCAAAAATTTGAAAATACTGACTCTTCCTTCTTTATTCATTTTTGAATCCGTTTGCTTAATCCGCAAGCACATATCTGCTATTCCCGAAAGGCCAACTCATAACTATCCACTTAGGAATGCAGAGCACGATCTTTATCTGCCAATCCCGAGCTCAGAACTAGTTAAATGTTCAATACTGTACAATGCCAAAAAAATGTACAATCATCTGCTTTTGAATATCAAGTCGCTTTCATTCTTTCCCGCATTTCGCAAAGCTCTAAAATCATACCTACTGGAGAGAGCCCTATATGCGGTATACGACTTTTTTGTTGATGTTTAATTATAAACAATTTTGAATTTTAAAATTTTGATCATCTCACACACTGGTCAAAGGTCAAGTATTTAATATTTTATAACTCTAAAATTATATCTATTTACTGCGTACTGTTCTAAAATTGTCCATGTATATTCTTTTTGTAATTTTAAAAATTTACATTTTTTTGAATTGTATTATTTGTATTGTGTATTTTTTGTTGTTTGTATTTTTTGTGATTTTGTTGTTTGTGAGTGCTTTGTCAATGAAGCTGTTTTGGCTTTTTGTACTATGTTATCATTTTAGTTTGACCCACTTTTAAAAGTTTATAACTTTTTTGTTTGTCGGGTTAAAGCAGTCATTCAAAAAACATGTTGTAGCAGTTTCAGCCAAGTTTTTGCGAGTGTTGTCAAAAATGATATAGTATATTAGTAGCGCATTAGATAGTCCCCTTTTCTCCGAATTCAAAAATGTATCACACATTAACATTATAAACGTCATATTATGAAAAGCCTGTAGAAAATATTTCGAAAATGCATTGAAGGTGGTCATGTAGAGCAATATAGATTATGAAAATGAATAACCTATAACTGTTTTTAATTCTATAGCTAGTTATTGTTCGTTAATGTGTTGTGCTACATTGATAAGGCAAACTAACAAATATAATTTGGAAACAAAACCATTTATAACTATCTTGATTCTTTTAATTACCTAATTGTTTTTACATGCTTTTGTCAATCTTGAATGAAATTAAGAAGAAGAATGCACATGTGTGATACATTTTTGAATTCGGAGAAAAGGCGACTATCTAATGCGCTACTAATATACAGGGTGTTCCATTTAAAAAGTTTTTTTTAGTTTCAAAAATCTGACATGTGACACCTACTGTCATTTTTGACAACACTCGTAAAAACTTGGCTGAAACTGCTACAACATGCTTTTTGAATGAATGCTTTAATCCAACAAACAAAAAAGTTATAAGCTTTTGAAAGTGGGTCAAACTAAAATGATAACCCGGTACAATAAAGCGTTGTTTGTTTCTTTGTTTGACTATTAATTTCAACAAATAAATGTATTAAAATCTTCAGTTATCATTGTTAATCTTCTTGTTTATTTTTATTGATGTTAGAAGTATTTAATAAAGATATTACAAGAATATTTTGCTTAATGAAATGAGGCGAGAAATAAGAAAAACCGAGTGAGGGAAATGGGTGAAGGAAATGGAAGAAATGTAGATAATTGACACTTTCAATTTTTTTAAAAGTCAGTAATGTCAGTATTACATATGTGCTTGTAAATAAAATAAATTAAACATTATTGATATTTTCTCTTAAAACAAAGTATCAACACACTGATGACGTTTTTATTGAGTGAACAGATTGCATGATTAGCGAATTACACTACCCTAATCATAAAAATAATAAACTAAAGTATTTAAAGCCACGATTTTCGTGTTTTCAAAAATAAATTATGCATACCGGCATTGATTGAGCTATCTATAAATAGAAAATACATTTTGTTGTAACGTTCTAAATATCCCTATCTATCGTTGACATAAAATTATGCAACAGACTGTAAAATTTGACAGCAATAAAGTTAGTGTAGAGGTCAATAAATATATTTCCTCGTAAATTTTGTTGGTAAACTAGTTTAGAAGCCGTCCCAAAACTCAGAGAGATGTTTAAAAACAAATAAAGTTTGAAATTGTTATAGGTCTAGATACTGTTATAAAAGTTAATATTATTTTTTTTATTTTTAGGGCCCTTTAATACCTCCTTGAAGGTTGGCGTGAAGGATATGAATAATTCAAGTTCAACTACTTATTTAAAGGTAAGTTTGCAAAAGTTGAAGTTTACCATAATAATAAAGTCGTTTATGCTATTAATTTAAATGCTAAATAACTACAAAATATATAAACAAGGATAGTACGGAGCGACCAACAATGATTGAAATAGTTGGTTATTCTGATTTTGCTCGTTTGGTTGGCAATAAATTTAAGAAATTCAAATATTTATCGGCTGTTAAAGCAGGGAACAAAAAAAGGTTTGACCAATTAGATCTAATATTCCGATGAGCATTGATCGAAGCAATTAGGCGATCTGCTGAAAATTTGGTTATATTCAGCACATAGCGATTAAGAGTTTTGTTCAGAAGGTAATACCACAGATTATACAGATTATAATCTTTGTTTTTTCTTTATTGTTTTTCGTGGTTCCAATTTTCGGAATCGGGTACTAGTTAGGTTACAAGTTTGCGCACATAGCACGCCCACTTATGGCCTCTAATATTGTGCACAGCGCCTGACCGGCACAGTTATTAGAGAGATATCGGTAAACCGAATAGCGTCATCCCGTATTTACGCGTACCTTATCATGGTTACGATATGCGCGAGTCAATTTTTAACGCAACACCCGCTAATAACGTTACCGCCTGACGTAATTTGCGGATCAAGCGCTCTTTCTAAATAACCTCTGATAACGTTTAACAATTGCTTAAATGGGCATGTGCGGGTATTTGACAACCGGAGCCGGCCGGCGAGATCTTTTATTTTAGGTTATGTTTGAATTGTTTTGAATTATTGCTTTAGTTTTATTAGGTAATTTGATATTTAAGTAGCTGGGATTAGTTTTAATTAAATACATATGGCCCAAAATATGGATTTCACCTCTTCCAATACTAAAGAACCTATAAAGAGTCTTAGGTTTGCAGCAGATGACGACTTAGCCCTTCTAAGAGAATTTGTTGCTTGTTGCCCTAAACCCACTGGCAGACGTTGAACAATAAAGCACTGGAAATAAGCACTTTGGCCCTTTAGTTTTAAAATACCTAGTAAACAAAACAATTTCAAAGTTTTAAATTCAAAGTTAGGTTAAGTTTAAATAGCGGACGCGACGCGATCAGAATTCTTTCTTCTTTCAGATCCGATAACTATAAATGAAGAGAGTTAATACCACCTCACGTAAAGGAAATAACACCTGGCCTTATTAACGTCCATGCACGCTATTCGGTTTAGCGATATCTCTCTATTACGCTGTTTATTGTTATTTTACGCAAGTTTATTTTTGCGCACAGGAAATTTGACTCGTTTGCACATCGTCATAAAAAACAATTTTCGTACCACGAATTAGGGACAAGATTTTTATCTGTATACTTATAGGATACCTAATCTGTGGTAATACACTCAAATTTAGTGTAATATTTTTTTGTTTACTTTAAGCCTTATTTTCATGATTTTTTTAACAAACTGTATATAAATCTATCAACTTTAATTCATAAACTCATTTTTTATAAACTTTAGTATTTGGCTTATTATACAGGGTTAATTGAAGGGTTGTTATCCTAACTTTAAAACACCCTGTGCAAGAATTTCGTGACTAACTTTTCCTAAAAAAATATTTTTCGATCGGAACCATGTCTCTAGAGCCTTTTGTTTTTTGACTCATGTCATTACTTTATGATGTTGTATTTTAATATCCCGAGGTGGCTTGGAGGACTGTTGTTATAGTCTATAAAATGAATAACTTTGAATTTTGACCGTTATTTTTTACCAACATGGTAAATATAAAATTCCTCTGTCAAAAAAGTTACTGATATTCTTTAAATTGAGTGCCTGAACGAATCAGATAGGTAACTCTTTTTACTTTCGTGAAATAGAAAAGGAAAATAATAAAACAAGTGACAGTTCTTCCTCTCCTTAAAAAAATCTTTGACAAAAATCAACACAATTGTCAAAAGTAAAAAGTCATCAGCTTTTGACGTTTCTAAATATCAGACCAATGCCGTCTCTAATAGAACAGCCTCAGAGCGAGATTTATGACGTCACGCTAGTTAGATACTACGGATTAATAAATATGTTGTAGAATACATGGAAAACACAATAATTCCTAGTATTTTTGGTTTGTATTTTAAAAATGATATAGTTTACATGAAATATACATAATATACAGTTAATAAATACAATATATATACCTATTTATAGTAATAAATAACTTTTGCAAATAAATTATGAACCATACAAATGCAGCAAATGTTTTACAATATACAAATAATGAATAGGTACATAAGATAATGGGTAAAATGTAAAATATATTTTAAATTTTGGGGTTTGAAAATCGATCTAATTTAACAAAAAACATTCAATATCTACTAATAGTGATGTATTATTATTTGCATTCACAAAATGTATATGTATATTTTGCAAGTATCAATGTTCGAAAAATTATATTTGCAAATAATACAATATCATGGAGAAAAGGCTGCAGCGATGGCTATGAAATAAAGATCGCTGTCATTTTATATGTAAAATTATTCTAAAATTTTTTTATTTTCTTGGGATTTAGGTTCGGGAAAAACGCTGATTAAGTTTTCATTTGTTTTTTCATTATTTTTTTTAAAAACGTTTCGGCTAGCATCATAGCCTTCATCAGTGTTGTGTCATATGAAAAAAATAGTGTCGAATATAATCCAAAAATTACATATAAAATATTCACACCACATAATGTTTACTGCAATTAATAAACTAATATAAACTTGTCAAAAGATGACCTCTCGTATTTTTTTTAAATTATTATTCTTAACACTAAAACTATCTACATTGACTATGGAATACGATTTCAGCCATAGTAAGTAGTAGATATTGAATGTTGTTTGTTAAATTAGATCGCTTTTCAAACCCCCAAAATTTAAAATATATTTTACATTTTACCCATTATCTTATGTACCTATTCATTATTTGTATATTGTAAAACATTTGCTGCATTTGTATGGTTCATAGTTTATTTGCGAAAGTTATTTATTACTATAAATAGGTATATATATTGTATTTATTAACTGTATATTATGTATATTTCATGTAAACTATATCATTTTTAAAATACAAACCAAAAATACGAGGAATTATTATGTTTTCCATGTAATCTACAACATATTTATTAATCCGTAGTATTTAACCAGCGTGACGTCATAAATCTCGCTTCGAGGCTGTTCTATTAGAGACGGCATTGCGTCAGCATGGCCGCAAGTTGCTAACCTAATAAAATTAACACTAGAAAAGCCCGCGGGAACTGTCAAATTCAAAGTTATTCGTTTCACAGACTATATAATGTCATATCGACACTGCTTAGAACTCTATTAAAATGTTAAAAAGTAACGATACAGGCTTGGTTTTAATAAATAGTAGCAACACTAACAGAACTAAGGATATTAAAAAAAATAACTGTAATAACCAAGTGTACAAACAAACAAAAATCTTGTAAAAATACTCAATATTTTGTATTACCTCTCCGGCTGCTATAACGTCTGTAGATATGTCTGTAGACTCCGGCTGCTATATGTCTGTAGACGTCGGTTCAAACCGTTAATTAAGCTGCAAATATATTGTATTGAATAAATTTTAATAACGCCAAAATTATAATGAAAGAAGCAACAGCCTCTAAAAGAAAAATAAAAGAGGCTTTTTTAATTCAATCCAATAAAAATAAATGTATTGCTCATGCATCTGTAGATGTTAGTAATGTATGGCAATCGCTTCTTTGATTTTAAAGCACATAACGTAAATAAACATAACATACGTAAAATTTAAAAATAATCATACATCAAGTTTGGGGCTTTTTGGTTTTACCTTATTAAGTAATTGTTATCAGGTAGTAATTGTTAATTTTGAAGTTTAACTTGATATAATGTCATTTTAACAGAACGTCAACGGTTTCTGGTAGACGTATCTGTTTTAAAAAAGTAAAGTGTTCTCGAATAGTTGAATTTAAATATTTTAAATATTTTTTTCTTTATTCTTTGTATTTTTTTGCTTCCGACGACGGAAAGAGATAACTTTCCGAAACGTTAAGCATTTTTTTTCTTTGTTAGGCAAATTTGTATTACTGTAAACATAACTTCTGATAAGCAGCGTCCGTTTAGGTTTAACGCAGAAGTGTTTACAAAAAATAACTATTTTATTTTGTAGAGTTTCTTGCAGTGCAGTGGCGAAATACCCATAAAGAATTTTTTTGGAGATATTGTATTAGGTTTTCCCATTCGGTCTTCAAGGATCAAACGAATGGCCGAAATTATATTCGGCCATCTTCAACAAGATCAAGGACTTTTGCACAATATTCTACACTAAGAACCATATTCAAGAACCATATTCAATCACCAAAGCTACCTTGTCATTATGATAATTGAAAATATTGCAAAATGTTTGTGGCAAGTTCGTTTTGCTCTTAAAAATTAACCAAGGCATGGGTTGTTATGAATTATAAAAAAAATATCCAGGAGACATGGTTCTGACTGAAAAATAATGTGTTAGGAAAATTTACTCACGAAATTATTGCACTGAGTGTTTTAAAGATAGAGTAAAAAACACTTCTTCAACTAACCCTGTACTAAAGTTTATAATAAAGTGAGTTTGCTAACTAAAGTTGATAGATTTATACAGGGTGACCCATCGAAAACGTTCCGCAAGGCATAACGGCCAAGGTATTCTTTTTTTCAAAAAATCCAAAAACACGTCAATTTTGTTTGTAAGGGGGACAACTTTTGCCCCAAAAATGATTGCGAAATCTTCAACCCTCTGAGCGGGGGTGTCATCCCCCAACTTTTTTCAAATGGGAAGGGGGGTCAAGTGGTTTGGTTTGGTTGCCAAGTTTATTTTTGCGCACAGGAAATTTGACTCGTTTGCACATCGTCATAAAAAACAATTTTCGTACCACGAATTAGGGACAAGATTTTTATCTGTATACTTATAGGATACCTAATCTGTGGTAATACACTCAAAATTAAAGTGTAATATTTTTTTGTTTACTTTAAGCCTTATTTTCATGATTTTTTTAACAAAC